TCCACCCCACTTTTGTTTGTTGTTCTTGTTACACTAGTACTGTTTGAGGAACTGTACTAATTTTTTCTTTTAAGATTTTTTTTTTTTAAGATTTTATTTATTTATTTTTAGAGAGAGTGTACGTGCTTGCAGCGGGGAGGGGCAGAGGGAGAGGAAGTGGGAGAGAAGCAGACTCCCCACTGAGTGCGGGGAGCCTGTCTCCAGTGCTCGATCTCAGGATCCTGAGATCATGGCCTGATCCGAAATTAAGAGTTGGACGCTCCACCGTCTGAGCCAGCCAGGTGCCCCTGAAAGCAAATTTTTAATATTTACATTGCCTTTTTACCTCAGGTGAAGTGTTTGTCTTAAATGATGGTGGAGAAGTTGATTTAGACCTTGGAAATTATGAACGGTTCTTGGATATTAACCTTTATAAAGACAACAACATCACCACTGGGAAGATATATCAGCATGTGATCAATAAAGAGAGGCGTGGCGATTACCTGGGGAAAACAGTACAAGGTAATGTATTCCACAAAGGTTAACGAGTCCTGTGTGTTGAGCACCCACACCCTGCTCAAAATAGACGTGAAGTGAGGGGCTCCCTGAGCTCTACAAGTTCTAATCCTTTTCAAATCCTTGCTTTCTTTCCCTTTTCATTTTCTTCAGAGGTGTCCACTTCACCCTCCATGTTCTTGATTGTATTTTCTTCAGTCTTTTTCTTTATTACTAATGTTACTGTTTTCTCTAGTCCATGTATCTGTTTGTCTTTAGCTTTTATTTATAAAATCCATGCAGAACCATTCATTCATCATTTTTACCTGATTGAGGTGCAGACTTTTTTGGTTTGTTTTTTGTCTGTCTTTTATTTTGTCTGTCTCCTTTCTTCTTGTATCTTTGCATGGATGTGGATCACTCCCCTTTGAAGGACAGTGTCGGGAGGGACTAGGGGATTGAACTGCAGTGGCTGGTAGTACGGTCAGACCCTTTTCCATCAACTCTTTTCCTGAGTGGTATGATTCTCTCTCTTTTTTTTTTAAAGCAGGCTGCACGTCTAGTGTGGACTCCAGTGCGGGGCTTGAATTCACGACCCTGAGATCAAGACCTGAGCTCAGCTAAGAGTTGGATGCTTAACCGACTGAGCCATCCAGATGCCCCCCATTTTAACTATTTTTAAGTGTACAGTTCAGTGGCATCAATGATATTCCAACCTGTTTTTAGAGTCTGGGTGTTGATTCAGCTTTGAAAGTCAGGAGACATCTTAGGACCAGTATTTTCTGGGATTTATGTCAGTAAGAACCTAAAAGTGGTCAACACTACTGAAAAGGGATATTTGTTTCAAGTATGATTGGATTGAGCCCAGAATTTCAGTCAGAAGCCTAGAGGAATGAAGGTTCTAACATCACCATCTAATAGATGAATAACCTTGACCTGTTATTTGTCCTTTCTGCCCTTCAAGTTTCTTCACCTGCATAAATATAGTGCAGAGGTGGGGCCCAGCCCATTCAGCTCTACTTTTGCCTTATCTCCAGGAACACCCAAAACCACAGTAAAGGCTGTGTTCCCCAGGGAACAGACAGTTTTACAATGGTTCTGAAAGGTGGAATTCTTCAAAATAAAAGATTATAAGAGAGCACGAGCAATCGACTTAATGACAGACTTTGTTTTCATCTCTTTTTTTATTCTTATTGCTATGCTGGTAGTGGGCCATGAAGAGGATATTCTTGTCCCACCCCAAATCAGTCAATCTGAATCCTGTTATCAAATTTGTTTTTCTGTTCAGTTTTTTCCCCATTTTGGATTAATAATACAATAGTTATCATAATAATCCCTTTGTATTCACAAAATATCTTCCATCTGTTAGCTACATAGAGGAATAGAATAAGATAAGGATAAGGCCCCACATCCTGTGGTGAAGAATCTGGCTTTGGGGACAAACAATTTACATTGATGTCCTGGCTTTCCCACTCGTAATGTACCTTTGGTCAGGACACCTCACATCTCTAAGCCTCAGGTTCTTCGTTATAGAAAGGGGATCATAGTAATTGTCCTGGCTGTGAAAAGGGAATGAAGTATTGAAATGTGGAAGGAAACTTTACATATGTGGCAGGGGAATATTACCATTGATGTCAGCCCATTTTCATGAGTGTCCTTTCCATAGGATGCTCTGGAAGACTTGTTTCATAACAAACCTCTCCATGCCTCCAGGCTTCAAAGGTGTTTCCTTTTTTTTTAATTTTTAAAGATTTTATTTATTTATTTGAGAGAGACAGAGAGAGCACGAGCAGGGGGAGGGGCAGAGGGAGAGGGAGAAGCGGACTCCCCGCTGAGCAGGGAATCCGACGTGGGACTTGATCCCAGGACTCCGAGATCATGATCTGAGCTGAAGTCACATGCTTAAACCGACTGAGCCATCCAGGCACCCCAAAGTTGTTTCCTCCTTTTCAAAAAATTTATTTATTGGCCTCCATGAAGACCTGGGGCTTCCATACACTTCCTGCTGAGTGGCGCCTCTGTTTATTTTTCCAGAAGTTGACATCACTGACCCTAGTGCCTTCCTTCTTCTTCCATGACATTACTCTTGGTGGGGAGAAACTCCCCTTTGCTTGGAAACTCACTGAATTTTTGCCGTACAACCTCCACCCATCCTTGTTGCCGTCATCTATTAGCTTCAGGGTCACTCCTCCACATTCCCTGAAGATTTGGTTCCTTGGCCTCAAGATTTGGTTCCTTGGACTCCTCCAAATTCCAGGGACCTCAATGTCCCACACACTGGCCTGGTGGATGCTCGACCCACTCATTTGACTCTGTTTCAGATGTCAGACCCTAAACTGAATCATCTCCTGGAATTGCTTCCCTTTTGAAGTCTCCAATGCTAACGCCACAGCTGGTAACAGCGTGCCAGCTCCCTTATTCCCATAGGCCTTTGTCTTTAGTTCTGTCTCTTTTCTTCCTAGTCTATCAGCTCCACACTGCTCTCGGTCCTTTCCTGTATGGACTAGACGCCCAGTTCAATACCACAATCACATTCTCCCAGACCCTCAACTGCCTCACTCACCTCCCTCTACTCAGCCCACAAACCGCTTTTATCATAAATATCCATATTTATATATCAACCTATAGATAGCTGGCAAAATCATAGCTGGGCATCATTACACACTATGGTTTCTAAACTCCCCTAGGTCTTCAATGACACTTGTCTAACTTGGTTCTCTAGTGACTTACACTGGTTATTCAAAATTTTCACCACTTTCCTAACTCTTCCATCTCAACTTCAAACCCTTCTATTGTCCAGTTAGAGCCTTTCTCCTTCAGTGGTTTGTGGATGTTCTTCCCTTCCCCTGAATAACCTGTGTCCTCTCCCAGCACTAGCCATCCTCCAAATGCTCTTAAAAATTCAGTGGGTGAAGCCCTGATTGCCCTCCACCCCACTTTTGTTTGTTGTTCTTGTTACACTAGTACTGTTTGAGGAACTGTACTAATTTTTTCTTTTAAGATTTTTTTTT